CGAGCGCCCAGGCGGCGCCTGTTTGAAGCACGCCGCCTGGGACATTAGCGAGGCGCTCGGGCCTCGCCTCGCCTCGCCCGAGCGCCTAGGCGAGCGCCCGAGCGCCTTTTGCAATCACTGAGAAGTCCTTGTTAAACAAAAATCAATAGTTTTCCAAAGAACAAGAAAAAAAAAAAGGGTCCCTAAGCTATAAACCATAGTGGTTGATGAATTATGCTATCACTTATCAGTTGCTGACTAGCCATCATGTTCCCTTTTTTGACCAAAGGATGCTAAGCTCCAATGAATTCTCCACATTCCTACAACATTTCCTATTTCTGCAGAGAATGGCATGTCGGTAACAAACATCCGGATTTTACTTCCCCTTGGTTGACTAATCAATAAATAACATATCCACTCCCCTCAAAGTTAAAAATAAAACAGAAGAAATGCTTAAGAATGTTAAGGCCCAAAGTTGGATAAAATCAAGGAGTCTCTTATAATGATAAGATCTTCCATGATAATCTAGTTGTCTTTATGTCACATCCATAAGAAACGGGGACAATTAACTGACACAGACAACTTTCTAAATACAAATGAATAGCTGGATTACTATAGCAGTGAGAGTACTTACCAATAGCTTTGCCCCTCTGGTCTTCTTCTGATAGTGAAACTGCTATAGCATGATCAACATCTTCATCTTCATACCCCTGCCTGCCATCCTAACATCCAGGATTTCATAAAGTGAGATAAACAAGCAAATATATAGAACAAATAGCCTCCTCAGATCATTTATACATGCAGCAGTGGAAGGTAAGGAGAAAGGTAAGGAGTGGAAGTTGATTTCACTTAGTTAAAGAACCCCACAAATTATGAAGAAGTGCAATATTCCAAAAAATCTATAGAAATTGCATACTCTATATCTGGCACCATTAGCTTCACAAGCAACCCTGAAGAACTTTCATCAAGAACAAATTCACTTACCAACATGGATCAACACCACAAAATTAACAATAACCTTAATGAAGTATAACAAAATTAACATTTCATTAACGATATTATCGAAGAACAGTGAACAATCTATCTGAAATTAAATATTCATCTTGTTTGTTTTCGGTATCAATATTAAAGAAAAACAATATTTTTTTAAGAAGTACCAATAAAGTATATTTCAAACAATCAATTTTTCCAATATTATACATAGAATTATTTTTTTCAAGAAGTTCTCATGAAGTTCATTCCAAACATTAAAAAATATATATTTACTAATATAACTCAAAGAATCAGATGCTTCCTTGAAGTCCTTGACACATATGTAAAAAGCAACCAATGAGTCATTGGTACATCCCAACACAGCTACAGCAGGCACTTTAAGGATTCATGTTTTGACTGTATACAACATCCTTTGGCATATTAACAAAGTAGTTTTATACAACATCCTTTGGCATATTTAAAAAATATATGCAAACCTCTTTATTCTTCTCTATTATTTAGGTATATTATCATTAACTAGGGAACAAGTAACGGATATTTCATCTGAAGTAATGATGCAACTTTTTATTTCTGGTGTTTGTATATTACATGGACTGTTAACCACGGCAACTTAAAGTTACTAATTGAGAGGGACTTCACAAGATAATAATTCTGCAATATTGAAAAAGCAGCACCAAGCCATAGACATATTGTACCTTTCTGTCTACTTGTTTATCTTTATAAATTAGTAAAGTTGTTTTGTTCATCATGTGCATTGTGCACCATTTCATATGTCATCAACGAACCAATTAGTTCTTCAAGTAGAAAAATATTTAAATCTTTTGTTTATTGTATTGTGGTTGTTTTAGGATTCCACCTTTTTGGAAGGGATCTTAAGATCTTGCTTACGAGATCAAAATTTGAAAAAGATTTACCAAGAACTCTTAGATTATTGACGACATTCGTGAAACGGGTGTACATGTCGCCTATAGTCTCGCTTGGTTGCATTCGAAAAAGCTCAAAATCATGTAATAAAATATTAACTTTGCTTTTCTTCTTTCTTTCTACTCTTAACAAAGATAAAGAAAATCAAAGATGGGCTCAGGTACGGATACAATATACGGAAGTGCCTAAATTTAGGTAGAAGAGTCTTTGAGATAAATCTCAAAGGTAATCACAAGATTTGATGAATTTAGTGGATCGTGAAAGGATGAACCACATTTTCATTATTGGCTATGGTCAATATAGGTCACAGTACTTCCACCTCCATGCTTCAAATTATTAAATCAACCGAAATGCAGTTCTAAATCTTAACCAACCAATCCCTATTTCTGCCGCAAAAAAATATTAATTCCATTGCAAATGCTTGATCTAAGTATGCAATTTCATAGATTCTCATTTTCAAAAAGAAATTACAAGTGTCTATGACTGCATAATGAATTTATTATGTATCGCAAAACATCAGATTACATAATGGAGAAATTCAGTAAAGCATAAGGGAGGAGAGTTTAAGCAAAAGGGATTACTATCGAACTAGAGGGTTCGGTCCAAAAGACATCATCTGCATGACTGCCATGACTCTGACCAGCTGAAATTTTAAGATTGGAACCTTTAAAGATTTTGTTTAACCAAACCATCAAGCTAGATTTTTAATTGTCACCAGCAGATTTTTCCTGCACAAAGTAAGTCAAACTTAGCAAACAAATTTGAGAATAAAATAATAAATGGGTATCACAATTTTGATATGTAGGGCAATTTAACAGAGCATTGGTTCATCTTATAGGCAACAAAAGCCTTGCTTCATAAATTGCAGACCCATAAATGAAAGAAGGAAGCAAAATAATTTACAAAAACAAACTCTCCCAAACAACAAGCCTCTCATATCTAAAAATTGTGCCTGATGGTAGGAAAAAAAACTTATTAATTACAAGAGGAAAACAAAAAGACATCATATCCCGCAGAATGAAACCTCATAACACATTTATAGAACCACGATCAACAAGATCAACCATACATGACGGCTCCATGAACAGCACTTGCCCCAAATCCAATAGAGCGAAGGAAACGACTGATCGCATAAATGATTTACTGAAATCCGTAATAGTATGCTAACAAAAAAAGAAAATAATCTAAGATACACAAGCCTTCACGATGAAACAGGAACCCGAAAGACGAAAGAAGATTTCCTGCAATTCCTTGATTGGGTAACCAAGCAACCAAAACCAAAAGAGGAATTCCGAGAACTTATTGTTGATGTGATCAATACCTCAGGAAGATGGAAATCGAGCAACAAAATAGTTAGAATCGAAGCCCAGATCAATTCGTTCCAGTGTCATATCCCCCTGTTTATATTCCTCATCTACCGAAAAGGAGGTGCTTTTCTGTTGCTGGCGACCATGAAGGTTCTAAAGTATCGAAAGGTGGCCGTGAAACCTAATTCTCTAATTGGCAATCCAGACTTAAGTCAAAAAGAAAGACGATTCCTTTTTGTTTTCTAGCTTTTCTTTCTCCATCACCCGCGTCAGAGCGTGCCAAAGGAAAGGGATTTGGTTGGGGAAGACGACGTTGGACTAATTAGTCGAAAGTTCCAAAGAGCAACGCTTGTTGACTGCAGAACACCAGCGCGTCCACCCGCCTCGCGACTGCAGGATGGGACGGTGACAAGTGTGGCACCTCCAATCGCAGGGCAGGTAGCTTTCGGGCGAGAAGAACCGGGTAGGAGAGACGTCTCGGGTGGTCCGGAAAAGGGTGCGGCGTCTCCTTCGCAGATCTGGAGCTGCGTCGGAGGTGGGGCCTCGCTCTCCCTCCTCCCGACCACTACCGCACGCGGCAGCATCAAAGCACTTTCACGGCGTCAAGCATCCCGTCCGTTTGCATTCCGGCGCTTAATTGATCGATGGCTTCCTCTTCGATTCTTTCGGAGAAGAATAATTAATGTCGCAGCCTCGGGTGGATTTCGCCGACGCTCCTCCCCGCACATACTTTCTTCTCGACTTTTCTTTTTCTTTTCTTTTTTTTTTTTTAGCTCCGAAGCATTTTAATTAAATAAAAGTACAATTTATTTATAAATTGATTAATATATTTTTAGATAATTTTCTATAGTTTCTGAAAGACGATATTACCGTTGACTCCCCCCTGCCACCCATGCACACACTGCGCTCCTACCTCTTCCACCACCATCCCTCCGCTAGCGCCCCGCTCGCCCTGGACCTGGCCCCGGCCCCGGCCCCGGCCCTGGCCCCCTCCTCCTCCGTCGCCGTTTGAGAACCTGACCGACTTCGTCGTCTACTTCAAGCTCCTCGAGATCTCGTAGGAGTTCCCTGACTGCTCCAGCTTAAGCTCCGACAAGCTCCAGAGGTTGGCCTCCCTCCCTAAATCTGAGGCGCCATGGAGCACTGGGGATCGATGGCATCGAGGTGCTAGTGGGAACGTGGATCGGCTCGTCGTCCGGCAATGGAGCCAGTGGTGCATGGGTAAGAAGAGGTCTCACTGTGCGTGGGCAAGAAGAAAAGAAGAGTGGGAAGAGGTCTCGCTGTTGAGTTTTCATGCGTCGTAGGTTTCTTTCTCTTGGAGATTAAAATATGATGATATAAGGACAGTTGAAGATTCAGGCTTTAATAAGCAGTCAAAAAATTACTTCTCTCCTAGAAGTGCTTTTTCGGGTTTATCCTATACAAGAGTTCATCCCAGAGTGAACAATAATTCCTCGTATATATTAAATGGCATTCCCGAAAAGATCTTAGTGCACTTTTGAAATTGTGTTTGGTGACATATTGATTGGACAGTTGAAGAGTCAAGTCCGTGGATACAAACAAAAATTACGTACATAAGAAGAATTCACGCAGCAATCCCCGACTTTGACAGGGTTACCGGAGGAATGCGATGATGCTCGAGTTGCAGGGGAGGTTTGTGTGTGGTCTGTTCCTCGTCATCTCTTCTAATAATCCTTTTATCAGGACAGCAGAGAGGAGTTCATTAGCTTGTCCTGATCTCTTCTGCTTCATCATCAATCGTGCGCAGTAGACAAGATTTTTATACCTTGTGATCATAATATCAATATTTCCCTATATATTTCACACAGATTTAGGAGTATATCTCCTGCTCTGCAGTTGCGGCAGATGCAGAACAGTAGGAAGCAGTCTGCCCTCACTTACATACATGTTTTAAGGATCAACTGGGCGCGAACCGATCCATGAGCATGCAAACGGTGGCTTCCGAGAGCGTGGTCGTCCTCCTCTGCCGCCGCTTCTCCCGAACAGCTTCCTCCTCCGCTGTAAGCAGTACTTCGGTTCCTTTCACCTCGTCTTCCTCCTGCCTGGCGGAGCTGCAAGTCCCGGTGCTCTGCTGTTTACTCCCGAGCTTGGCAATGACTCCACCCACCCACATTCCCACAAAGCCTGACATCTCTGCTACTTCTTCTCAGAATGCTCCTGTTCAAAGCTACACAGGTTTCGCTAAGTATATATCGAGAGGAGGAGGAAGAAAGCAGGGGTTGAGCTCCACGGTCGTCTCTTCTTATCTCTGTTGCCCCCCACATTGGCTGCGTCACGCAATGGTTTTCCCAGCCCATTGGCTTCCGCTGCAGGGAATTGCTCGGTGAACCGCGTAGGTGTCACATCAACGCCTACACAATTTGACACGGATTAGAAATGATCTAGATGATTGATGGCGATTTGGGCTGAGTTGGAGGGTTTTTCTTGTTTGGCAAGGATCTACCGCATCTTCTTCTTCCTTTTTGTGTGCATGGGCACTCTTTGATTCCCTTGTCTTTCTTGTTGACTTTACGCAAACTTTTGTCCTGATTGTTGACTTTCTGCGAACTTCATGAAGAAAGAAGATAATAGTAGAACTAGAAATACTTTGAATAACATGATGCCTATCGTATCTTCTCAAAACAAGGATTTATTGTGATGTAAATTCTCGGTTATGATGTTTCTGGGTATAAAACAAGAACGCCTTCTACTTCACAGGAGTGTAATGTTTCTGGTAAGTTTAAAAGATAGTGTTCCGCAGAGAAAGAGATCGGATGATTGCAAATGTTCGCCAATATAACAGCATGAGTACATACGGGAGCGTACTGAGACAGATACATGAATACAAAACTTTGGTTAGCTGAACATGCCTCAAGAACTGAATCTAAAGGCCAAAGCAATCTACAAGAATCGACAGAGTGGTTTCGGAGTCGATGCATTCTTCTGATTGCTGCAGCAACTTGCTTTTCACGGCCTGACTCAGGCGTGGGAAGCCAAGAAGAGATGTCTCCCGCTCTTTCTTGACGCTGCCTCGACCCCCGGACGAGAAGACGCCGTCATGGCGTTTCGTGCGAAGCTTTTCGAGCCCTGCACTCCAAATCTCCATCAAGCTCGACATGGCCAAGGTAGCAGACGAGAGACCTGAGCTAGAAACAAGCTGGAGAGCTCTTGTATAAAAAGAGCTCTCGGCTTCGGAAGGAAAACCAAGGGACACGATATGCTGCATGCCTTTCGCTGTTCCTTCTGTGTGCTCTCACTCGCCCACAGTCTTCTTTTCCATGATCTACTTTTCTCATGGATATGATATCGGAAGTTCAATCCTGCATCGTTTTTCTGTGGGCTTTTCTTTTTCGGAACCTGCGGCTGAACGATGACTGCGTCAGCGAATTGGAAGGTTGACTTCTGTCGTCTTCTTGTAGGGTAGGAGGTTTGACTTCTGTTGGTAATCGGAAATCCGCAGATTAATCTGGAAATCTTTTTTCTACTATTTGGGATGTGAAATGTTTTCAAAATGATCTGCGCAATCTCCAACCAGCATTCGCAGCACACAGTAGTCGACTCAAATGCTATCCAAAGTATTTTACATCCACATCACTAAGTTCTCCAGCCTCGATGAAAGCTCAAAAACAGCAGGATTTCTTCTCTTTCTTTCCTTTTTCTCTTTCCATTTTTCGTCGACATGAAAAATGATGTAGTTGGACACCTCCTAACTTCACAAACACCTGAGAAGAGTCATCTCGTTTGAAGTTTCAGCGTACGCCATCTGCCAACTCTGGCGGCCCAATGTGATTTCAAGGTTAGGCATCCGGGGAGGCATGGAGGGTGGCACCAGAGTTGGTCTCAGTTCTTGTGGTTGATCCTCCATCAGTAGTACCTAATCACAGGAAAAAAAAAATGATTGCATCTTCTTGTTTGAGATTAATTCTATAGTGATTGATATATATATATATATATATATATATATATATATATATA